TAGTCAACATATTATCATTAGTTTTAGAGGTAGTACCAACTGAGCCACCCAGGCGTCCCCATGTGGGGTTTTCTTTGTGAATGGTTCCTCCTGCTTAGCATAAGGTCTTCAAGATAATATTCCACTGTATTGATATACCGCGTTTTGGTCATCTATTCATTAGCTGCTGGGCATCTGGGTGGCTTCCAGGTCTGGGCTTTAGGAATAATGCTGCTAGAAGCATTGTGTACACATTTCCGTGTGAACATATGTTCTCACACGTGTTCTGTCGGCCATACATGTAGGAGTGGAGTGGCTGCATCTCATGGTGACTTTATGTTTAACTGTTTGATGAACGGCCAGACTGCTTCCCCCAGCAGCTGGACCACTTGTACATGCCATCCACGAAGTGTGAGAGCTACAACCTCTCCATGCTTCCGCCATGCTTGTCTGTGTGATCGCTGGCATCCTGGTGCTTGTGACGTGGTCTCTCACTGTGGTTTGGTTTATGTTCCCCAAATGGCTCATGATGTTGAGCATCTTTTCAGGTGCTTATCAATCATTTGTAGGTATTTGGAGACATGTCAACTAAAATCCTTTGCCAACTTTTTAGTTAGGTTATTTGCCTCTGTGTTATTGAAGCATATGAGCCTTTTTTATCAGATGCATACTTTACACTGCTTTCTTCCATTCTGTGTGTGTGTGTGTGTGTGTGTGTGTACTTGGGGTTGGGAGTGGGGCAACTCAGTTTTCATGGGGAACACCAGAATATCATTTGGTTTCTTTTTCTTTTTTTTTAATTTAATTTAATTTTATTATGTTATGTTAGTCGCCATACATCATTAGTTTTTGATGTAGTGATGTGATTCATTGTTTTCATATAACACCCAATGCTCCATGTACTACGTGCCCTCCTTAATACCCATCATCAGGCTAGCCCATCCCCCCACCCCTTCCCCTCTAAAACCCTCAGTTTGTTTCTCGAAGTCTATAGTCTCTCATGGTTTGTCTCCCCCTCTGATTC